TTAGGTCTAGCTGGTCCATTGTGTCCTTTAAAGTTTGTGTTTCCCTGTTCATTTTCTGTTTAGTTGATCTATCCATAGTTGTGAGTGGGGTATTAAAGTCTCCTACTATTATTGTGTTACTATTAATTTCCTCTTTCACACTCGTTAGCATTTGCCTTACATATTGCGGTGCTCCTATGTTGGGTGCATATATATTTATAATTGTTATATCTTCTTCTTGGATTGATCCTTTGATCATTATGTAGTAAGACCGTCATTTTTAAAAAGCAAAAAATAAGTGAAACATTCTCTACTCAGACAATAATCATTCAATACAGCAACTCCCTATCTATACAGCAACCTAAACTCACCTAGTTCATTGGTTCCAAGATATATGCAAAGGAATAAGCTTTGGGGCTTCCCTTCTGGCTCAGAGGTAAAGAATCTGTCTGCTAGTGCAGGGCACACAGGTTTGATCCCTGATCCGGGAAATTCCCACATGCCTGAGGACAATTGAGCCTGTAGGCCACAGGTGATGATTCTGTGCTCTAGAACTGGGGAGGCACAACTACTGAGCAAAAACACACAGAGATCATGCATTGCAACAAGAGAATTCACTAGAATGAGAAGTTCATGCACTGTAAGTAGAGCATAGCTCTTGCTTGCTGCAAGTAGAGAAAAGCCCCTGAAGCAACAAAGACCAGGTGCAGATAAAAACAAATAAACTGTAAATAAATTTTTAATGTATTGTTATGAAGATAAAGGAATGTGATTGGAAAACTTTGTGAACTAGAGTCAGAGACAACTCTCTTGGGAAGGAAATGTAAAGTAACAACACACACGATGTAATGTAGACAAAAGAGATTTGTCACAATAAGCATGACAGGAAGTAAATATATCTTTGAAGCAAAAGTAAACCCTTGAGGCAAACTCCTTGTGGTCCAGTAGTTAGGACCATGTGCTTCCACTGTAGAGGGCACAGAATCCTTCCATGAATGGGGAACTAAGAACCAGACTGCCATGTGGCACAACAACAACAAAAAAAGAAAAGTAACTTCTGATTTTTTTCTATAAAACATGCAATGGTCTATGCCACCTAACAGCAGGAATTACCACAGTAGGCGAACAAGGGGAAATAAATCCCTCTGAAACACCTTATCACATGCTACCCAAAGTCAAGCAACAAAAATGACAGGAGTCAAATGGCAGATTGTTGCAGAACATAAAAAGACTTTTTGGGACCTCTTTTCTTGGAGTCCACTTTCCATGAACCTCTCTCTTTTTAAAAACATCACTTTGTTCATTTAGAAACAGCCATCTGTAAGTCAGAAGTACTTTCCATTTTCCATAATAAAATGTAATTTTGAGGAAGGAGTTGGATGGGCTGCAGGTTGGACATCTACAGTCAGCTACCCTCCTCTTTGCATGCCCTGAGATAAGAGATAGGTGGGCTCAGGTTGAGGAATTTACAGCCAACAAAAACAGGGTAAACAGCCAGTTTGTCTCTTAATTCAAAGGAATAATCATGGCAAGGAGAAAGAAAGGAAAAACCCTGTCTGATAAAGGAGACAGTACACAAGTGCAGAAAGGCTCCTTGGAGTTAAAAGTCAGAGGAGCATTCCAGGCCATAATGAGGTTTGCTCCTCTGAGAAGCCTTTACTTCAAGATCCAGGGTGTGCCTGTGTAGTCAAGGAGAGGGTCCTGAGACAAACTAACCAGGGGGGACAAAGCAAGGTGCTTGGCCCACATTTCTCATACCTTTCTTACTAAAAACACACATCTTACTTTCCTTAAGCAACCATGACCTGTCCGTTATATTAGCATTTTGTAGACTGGTGAACATAAATACCAGTGACAATCTCTAAGAATATTTGCTTTCTTATAGAGAACATCCCAGGGTGGCACCAAACATATTCATTAAGAGTCCAAAATCTCTTTAGTGTGTCTGTAGGAAGAAATGAGTTTTCAGTAATGTGTGATTCAGAATCTTCTTTTCTTTGGAAATGACCTAGATATTCAACAAACTTTCATCATTTAGTTTATCACAACCCTAGAAATTCAGGTTATTCAGATCTGGACAGACTATTTTACAAAGACATTTCTGAAGTATAATCATTCCTAACAGAGTTTATCTGAAAGCTCCAACTGCATTTGCATTCTTTCCTTTTTAAAAGTTTCTTCACTCAAGTTACTTTAACTGTTGACAAACTTACTTAACATTAAACCTAGGTACAATAAAAGTATTAGACAATGTTGAAGACTCAAGATGTCTTAATTAGATGAGCAAACAAACATTAATACTAGATATTTAATATTGAATATTGTCCAGTTCAGGTGAACCTGAAATTCATTTAGGTTAATTTTTCTTGCAATTGTTTGATTTGTAAGTGCTTACTTTTTTTCTTTTTTAACAAACAACTGAATTAGAGCTCATTTACAAATTAGCCTCAGCAATATTATCCAAAAACAAAGACACACACTGAAACAAACGTAAGTGCAGATCAACACACATGAGAGCTCTCATACTTTCCTGCTTGAGATTTAAAATGTCTCTTTCACCCTTTTCTTCCCACCTCCCGCCCTGTGGTTTAAAATTCTAATTTGCCGAAGACTGAAATCTCTGGAAAAATGGGTTACGTATTTCAAGGAATAGCAAAGGTTGCATGCTATGCAAGGTCACTTCAGTCCTGTCCAACTCCCTGCAACACCATGGACTCTAGCCCACCAGACTCCTCTGTCCATGATGGGACTCTCCAGGGAAGAATACTGGAGTAGGTTGCCATTCACTCCTGCAGGGTATCTTCCCTACTCAGGGAACAAATCCATGTCTCCTGTGTCTCCCCCAAGGGCTGGCAGGTTCTTTACCACTAGAGTCATCTGGGAAGCCCTGGCAAAGGTCAACTTTAAGCTTTTATTGGGGCAGGTCTTTTTAACAAGCTTGCCGTTTTTAATTCCACATGTAAAAAGAACCAATATTGCACTTTCAAAGAAAAAAACAAATTCATCTTAACTAGTTTTCTCTGGAGTCTAAACAATATCATGGCCATCCTGTATCAACCAAGTTATCTTTCCTTTCTATAGTCATACCTTTATGGCTAAAATACAAATAAAACAGTGCTCAAATTGACTGTGATAACAGGGCCAGAAGGACTGATAACAATCTTGGACATCCCTCCAGGGAGATGGGGGTCTTTGGTCAGAAGAATCTAAAGAGGTAAACAAACTTGCTAGAGTGGGGAAACCTGGGCTCCCTGCCCCTCTGAGAAACAGGGGCCATTAGAAGGGGACTAGCTTATGGAGAGGGAGAACGAGGGGTTGGGAGGGGTGAAAGGCCACAACAGGACAGAGAATGGAGAAAGAAAGGGCAATGGGGGACACTATTGGAGCTGTGGGCCAGCTAAAGAGAGTCGACTTAAAAAGTGAAGATTTGATCAGCCAAAATATAACGTGACATTGTAATGTGGATAATCATCCTCACAAATCACATAATTCTTTTTCCAGATGGAACATCTCTTTAGACAGTTTTAAGTTACCTTTATTTACCTCACGGTAGGCAGAGAGCAGGATCCAGGAGCCAACTTGGATGGTGCTAAGCCTGGGGCTTGGTTGGCAAGGGCCCCTGCAAAGGCTGAACAATCTCAAGATTTGTGCCCTATCTTATCTATGCTGCTGCAAGCCTTGCACTCACAGGAGACAGTCAGGACATTCACACTCAGGGCAGTTTTCATGTAGGTTAAAAGCAAGGTCAGAGGAGTGCACTGCTTTGTCTTGAAGCCTAAACAAGACTATTTCTTTAATTTCCCTAACACCCTGGTGGCTCCATGTTAAGAATCTGCTTAGTAATGCGGGAGACATGGCTTCGATTCTTGTTCTGAGAAGATCTCACATGTCACAGAGAATAAGTTGATGAACTACAGATAATGAGCTTGTATGGGAAAACTACTCATGCCCATGTGCCTAGGGCCTGTGCTTCACAACTAAAGAAACTACCACAATGAGAAACCGTGCTCCCCGCAACTAGAGAGTAACCCTCAGTCATCTCAAACAGACAAAAGTCCGCACAGCAAAAAAACCCAGTACAGGCCAAAAAAAAGGACCTTGCCTTCATTTCTGTGGCTGCTACAGTACCACTGGAGGGTGCTGTACATTTCACATATTGAAGAAATGTGAAGTAAGTTCGGTAGAAGAAAAATCTCCTGTGAGATTCACAAACATTAAACATCTGTTTTCTCACAGAACTCTCCCCCTTGGAGAGTTTCCCAAACCCCATGAATGGTGTAGCTTCCTCTCTGTTCTTGTGATAGTTGACCTGTGATCACACTGTTGATACTTTCCTACTCATCTGGATTTTTGCTATTAACACCTCATTCTCCACAATCCAGGGGTCTTCTTCCTTGTGCCACAAGAATGGAGATAATGTTCAGATCAGAAACAGAAATTCCTACTCACAAGTAATGCCACATACTGTGGCTTCTTCCAGGGTACAACCTCTCCTTTTTTAAATAAATGTATCTGTTACTGTTAATGCATTGGTGAATTCATTTCTTTCGGATCGGGGGAGTGTTCGTTGCTGCTTGGTTTCTCTCCAAGTTCAGCAAGTAGTGGTTATGCTCCAGTTGCAGTGCTCGTGCTCCTCACTTGCTGCGGCTTCTCCTGGGTGCATGGGCTTCAGTGGTTGTCCTACGTGGGCTCAGTAGTTGCAGCTTCCAGGCTCTAGAGTGCTGGCTCATAGTTGAGGCACACAGGCGTAGCTGCTCTGTGACATGTGGGATCTTCTCAGACCTATGATCGAACCAGGGTCTCCTGCATTGGCAGGTGTAGAATCCAGCTCTTTTTTTCAGCCAAGGGGTGAGGACATTATAAACCTCTATAGGAAAATAGAGGAAACAGGAAAATACTTCTCTAACGAATTTCCTATCTGCCTCCTTTTGAATGCACAGGGAACAGTATAACGTACAGTACAATATGCAGCAGGTATCTAGTTCCTCTCTAAGAACTACTGAACCAAGAACACAGGGCTAGAAAACAGGCAACTGGATATTTCAAAGTTTGAAATCAGCTTTATAAATACTCAAGTTCTGAAAAAACTCCTGTGTATCACACATTGGCAGGTCACCAGAAGGAAAGACAAGTTTAAAACTCCTAATGCCAATCACGAAGCTTTACATGTGTGAGTCACCAAGGTTTTGAGCTTAGTCAAGAAAAACAGGGGATCTCAAAAGGTACAGAGGGAACATGGAGAGGAACCCCAGGGCAGATCCCCACTTCAGGGGGAAGTGATCCTCACCTACAGAGAGCAGATTCCTGAGAGTCTCCACCATCACGTCCTTGTACAAGGTCCTCTGGGCAGGGTCCAGGCATTCCCATTCCTCAGGAGTGAAATCTATGAACACATCCTTGAAGGTCAATTGTGCCTGAAACGAAAACACATTTCACCAACGGGCCCTGAGGAGGATTCTAGATTTCACACAAAATGAGAAGAGGTGAGAGGGGTAAAGCTCAATTCAGTTGAAGTAATATTCTGATAGATCCATTACAAGCTGCTTCAAGCAAACTGTTGATCTCTAATCTAATTTATAATTTCCTCTTTTTTCCTAAGATTATGATCTCCTGCAATCAACACAAATTTGTCATGTCTGTGGACAAAACATGAAAAATACAAAAATTACCAACACTGGGTTGTATATGCAGAAGTGTTACATTCAACACACGGAGCGACATAGTGTCACTATCTAGATGAGCTACAGCAAGACTGCTGTCTTCAGAGACGATAAAGTCCACAGTGACTTTAAAAGAACACACATTTGTCACACTGATGACAGGTGTTTCGGCACGTCCTACTCACTAAGCATTACTCTCAAGACGTCACACAAATGAACTCGTCCCCAACATAACAGCACATTAGAGAAAGCTCTGAGTCCACCTTACTGGGGAGTAAATTTTGTCACTCTTAAGAAATCGTTCATATCAAATAGTAAAGAAATGGGGCAACAGCACCTGAGCTGAGGTGGTTGGGAGTGACAACTGAACCTAAAGAATCAAGCAGTTAACTACCAGAGAAAGAAAGAGCATCCACAGAGTGTTCCCTGAGAATACCTGAAACAAGTTCAAGGAAGTTGAAATACAACATAACAGCATAAATGGTCACATTACAGGGTCATACCCTCTCCCATCGCAACCCACACAATGTCAATAATCGTACTACAATTTACATCATTCATGTGATGATGCAGAAAAAACTTAATGCCATGAAATACACTTAAGATAACAAGTGAAACTGCTAGAAAGCATACACCATTATTTATGAGATGATGTTTCTATAATAAAACCATGGAGTTACATATCTATGCATTCATGCATGCATGTGTAAACACACAATTGCTTGAAACAAGAGTTGTCTTTATTTTTTTTCTTTCATTCTATCAAAATTCATTCAGCGTCAGCTGTGTGCCTCTAACTTGAAATACAGCAATGAACATGATGTAGCTTACACTCTTATCAGCCAGACAGCCAATTTCATACACAATTTTAATGTACTATTGAAATAAGTACTCTGACAGAGGCCCGGTGCTAAGACAAGATTAAACAGAGGGTCTTAACCTACACTGAGAAATCAGACAAAGTCTCTGTGAGGAAGAAACACTTAAGATTGGCCAGGTAGGAAATGGAAGAGTGCTGCAAGCAGAGGGAAGAGCCTGAGTGCCGGCTCTGAGGCAGGAAGATATTTAGTGAACAGAAAGTTAGCCAGTCTGACTGGGACACAGGGAATGTAGATGGGGTAATGCCAGGCAGAGGCTAATTTATGCAAGATCTATGGATTGAGGACTTTATTCCAAAAGCTACTGGAAGTCAATGAAGAATCTGCAAGAAGAAAGTTAGATACTTAAGATTTGTTTTTCAGAGCTCAATCTGCTGAGTGTGGAAGTTGTGTTTCCTGCTTACTCATGCCAGACTCTTTGCAACCCCTCTGATGACAGCCCACCAGCTCCTCTATCCATGGAATTCTCCAGACAAGAATACTGGAGTGGGTTCTCATTCTCTTCTTTCATTTTACTTCTTCATTCAGTACCTTTCTCAACCTTATTTCTTTTTCAAAGTTATTTTGCTTATGTTGGGTCTTCATTGTTGTGAGTGGGCTTTCTCTAGTTGCAGCTGCAGTGCCAGGGCTTCTCACTGCAGTGGCTTCTCTTGTTTTGGAGCACAGGCTCTAGAGAGTGCGGGCTTCCATAGTTATGGCTCTCAGGCTCTAGAGCACAAGCTCAGTAGTTGTGGCCCATGGGCTTAATTGCTCTGAGGCATCTTCCCGGATCTGGGATGGAACCCGTGCACCCTACATTGGCAAGCACATTCTTAGCCACTGTACCACCAGGGAAGTCCTCAGCATTATCTAATTCTAGTTCAAAAAAAAACCAAAAAGTAATACAAGCAGAAAATAACATACAGAAGGTTTCTTTCAGTCTTTATAAAATACCTGTATTTAAAAATATGTGGCCCTCAAGTGGTAAAGAACCCACTGCGCAATGCAAGAGATGTGGATTGTTGCTTGTCCTGAGATCCCACATACTGAGGGGCAACTAAGTCCGTGAGTCTCAATTCCTGAGCCAAAGCTCTAGAGCCCAGGAGGTGAAACTACTGAAGACAGTGCCCTCGTGCTGCAAGACAAGAGAAGCCACTGCAATGAGAAGCATGTGCTTGCAACTAGAGAGTGGCCACCACTCACCAGCACTAGGGAAAAGGCACTGAAGCAATGAAGATACAGTACAGGAAAAAATATATTTTAAAAATCATAATGTGATTTTTATCCTTAATTTTAGGTATGTACTTATTGAGAAAATCCAAAATTTATTATTTTATCCTATTAAGAAAATACTGAATCAAGATTAGTAAAGTTGGAAAATTCCCTCATGGTCCAATGGTTAAAGATTCCTCACTTCCACTGCAGGGTTTCAGGTTCGAGCCCTACTCAGTGAACTAAGACCCTGGAAGCTGCATCATGTGGTCAAAAAAGAAAGAAAAAAAAGTTAGTAAGCCTGATTTTACAGTTTAAATTAGGCGGTGTAACGAAACACCCCCTAGCCCTGACATCTCTTTCTGAACGCTCCATTCCATTCTCAAACAGTTAAGTTTTCAAGGAGGTGCTCATTTAGTTTTAAATGAACTATAAAATCTCAGAACTGATTTCCACTCATTGCCCTTCTCTGGTAGATTTTACTGTGTACTGTACATGTTAATAATACCTGAGGTCCACGTACAGCTTCTTTACCCTGGTTGACAGAGAGCAGACAGCGCATCCAGGTGGGTCCTAAACAGTCCCTGCTGCCCAACAGCACTGAGACCCTGTCTCCAACCCATGGGTGAGAAGCCCTGCCCAGGATGGTGCCCAGGGGAGCCTCCTCACAAGGGCCAGGTCACCGGCTAATGGGGAGACGGGATCCAAGTGGAGATGACAGGCCCTGAGGGAAGGCCCAGGGTGAGTGTGCATGTACAGGAGTCAGACAGGACACTCCAGAGTCAGACACGATTAGCAAGTCCAGGGAAGGGCATTTCAGGAAGGACAGATGGAATATGACCTTACCTGAGAAAGAGCCATGCCTGACTCCTGTTCTTTCCTCTTCTGGGCTTCTTCGTCCATGTGTCTTCACAGTTCTATCATGAAAGTTGAAAACATGCTGTTTAATGCTTAGGGTTCCTGAGCCCCAATCAAACACACAGGGAAGCTCTCACCGTGTAGAACAGACAGTCCTCAGTGCCCACTGTCTCAGGAGGGACTCAGGATGGTCAACTCCTGCACAGAGACCAACACGGGACTTTTCCACACTTTCTGTCGGATCATACTCCCCTCCTGCTGAGGCCTCATGCAAACAGCAGCAGGGGGCACCTCCGCTGACCCCGTGATCCCCTTCAGGTCACACAGCAGACCCTGGTCCAGTCCCACTCAGAGCAGAGAGCCCTTCCCTTCCCCGGGGCCTGATCTCAGTCTCAGAAGTGGAGGCTAAGAGCCCTGGTGCTCAATGCAGGATCCAGATAGGAATCATCTGCAGCCTGTGCACATTCCTGGGGCGAGGCCACACACGAGAACCTGAGGAGTGTGTCTGATGGGGGAGGGGTACAAAACATGCCCGGGCAAAATGCCTCATGATCTCATGTGAAGCCTGCGTTGAGCACTAGTGAAGGATTAAGGTCAGGCCACCTCCCACTTTCTTCTTTTCCAGCTTTACTGAGACTAACGAGAAGGGTTATGTGTACATATTCCATACACCATGTGATCACGTGACGCGTGTACACTGTGACATATTTATCACAATCCACGAACCAACATATCCATCACCTCCAAATTCCCATGTTCTGTGTGTGGTGACAACACTGATGATGTACTCTCCTGACAAATTCCCAGCGTGCAGTACACTGTGAAATATTTATCACAATCCATGAACCAACACATCCATCACCTCCAAATTCCCATGTTCTGTGTGTGGTGACAACACTGACGATGTACTCTCCTGACAAATTCCCAGCATGCAGTAACAGAATAGGATTAACTACGTTCAGCGAGCTGCACACACTTCCGCAGGATGCATTCATTTTACAACTCAAAGTCTGTACCTCTCAACCAACATCTCCCCAACCTACCCACCTCCCAGCCCCAGATAACCAGCATCCCACTGTCTGCTACTAGCGACTTTCACTTTTTTACATTCTACACATTAAGCGAGCACATACATTATCAGTCTTAGACTGTCTGTCCTAATTCACTTAGCATAATATTCACTATATTCATCCAAGCTGTCCCAATTGGCAAAAATCTCCATCTTTATGGGAAGGGATAAGAAATCCTTTCTCAGCGATCAATGCAAAGAAATAGAGGAAAACAACAGAATGGGAAAGACTAGAGATCTCTTCAAGAAAATTATAGAGATACCAAGGGAATATTTCATGCAAAGATGGGCACAATAAAAGGACAGAAATGGCAGGGACCTAACGGAAGCAGAAGATATTAAGAAGAGGTGGCAATAATACACAAAAGAACTGTACAAAAAAGATCTTCATGACCCAGATAATCACCATGATGTGATCACTCACCTAGAGCCAGACATCCTGGAATGTGAAGTCAAGTGGGCCTTAGGAAGCATCACTACAAACAAAGCTAGTGGAGGTGATGGAATTCCAGTTGACCTATTTCAAATCCTAAAAGATGATGCTGTGGAAGTGCTGCACTCAATATGCAAATCTGGAAAACTCAGCAGTGGCCAGACGGGAAAAAGTCAGTTTTCATTCCAATCTCAAAGAAAGGCAATGCCAAAGAATGTTCAAACTACCGCACAATTGCACTCAGCTCACAAGCAATACTAAAAGTTCTCCAAGCCAGGCTTCAACAGTATGTGATCTGTGAACTTCCAGATGTTCAAGTTGGATGCTTGGATGGCATCACCAATGTGATGGACATGAGTTTGAGTAAGTTCCGGGAGTTGGTGATGGACAGGGAAGCCTGGCGTGCTGCAGTCCATGAGCTGGCAAACAGTCAGACATGGCTAAGCAATTGAATTGAATATGTCATACACACAAATATGTGTGTATATTTCCCTGGGTTACCAATGAGGACTTCCCTGGGAGCTCAGAAGGTAATGAATCTGCCAGCAATGCAGAAGAGCCAGATTTGATCCCTTGGTTGGAAAGATCCCCTGGAGGAGGGAATGGCAACCCACTCCAGTATTCTTGCCTAGAGAATTCCACGGACAGAGGAGCCTGGCAGAGTACAGTCCCTGGGGTCACAAAGAGTCTGACATGACTGAGTGACTAACACACTTACATGTTTTCAACCTGGATCCTGGAGCTCTTAAATAGAAATAGTTATGAAACCAGAGGGGAATTTCAAGAAAGGCTTTATTGGGACTCTTGCTGCAGTAAGGAGAGACAGAAAAAGAAGTGTGTGCCCCTGCTCCTCCCAAAAAGGGGGGTGAGATGATCCCTTTGGTTAAGGCTGGAAGGAAACTGAGGTGATCTGCCCCGCCTCGGGCCCCCTGGTGGTGCTGTGAGCAGGGATCACAGGAAGTGACCTGCTTTTGCTTCTGGAGCCTCAGAAATAACACTTGGTTTGTGGCCCTTTTACTTTTGTTCAGAATTGCTGTCCGCTCATGAATGTGGCTATGGTTTCTTTGTTCAATTACACTTTCTTTGTAGTCTGTTGCCTGAAAAGACGTTTGTCCAGGTGCAAGAACTGCAGTAAAAGGTCCCAGGACCCAGGCTGTCTCATACACACATCATGGTTTCATTATCCACTCGGCCAAGAACAGACACTCAGGTTGTTTCTACAACACATGGCTGTTGTGAATCATACAGTATGGGTTACAGGAGTACAGGTTACTCCTTCAAAATACTGATTTTTGCACAGGACTTCCCTGGTGGTCCAGTGGTTAAGAACCTGCCTAGCTCTGTGGGGGATGTGGGTTCAATCGCTGGTCGGGGAACCAAGATCCCACAGGCGGCGGAGCAACTAAGCCCGAGCACCACACTATAAAGTTGGTGCACCGAAACCAAAGATCCTGCAGGACGCAGGCAAAGCCAAATACATAAACATTTTTTAAAATTTTGCTTTTCTTAGATATATAATTAGAAGTGAGATTGCGTGATCTTATGCATGTTCTATTTTTAATCTTTGGGTAACTCCATACTGTTTTCCATGTACCATTTACATTCCCATCAACCATTTTTAACCATTAACTGTATGGTGCACATACATGGAAGACGCCCAAGATCTGTAAAGATGATGCGAGAACAGCAGAGGAATCCAATGCGCTGGCAGCAACAAATAGCAGCTGCATCATCTCCAGAATAAGCCTCTGTAATACAGGTTGCTGTGGAGCTGATAACCCTCAGATTCTAAGAACAATCCTTCACTGCATCATGCCATCAAAGCTGAGGCCCAACCATTACCCTTTGAGCTTGAAAGAAACTTCCAAACCTGCATCTGGGCCAACACACTCCCCAGAGACGCAGTAATAATCCACCCATCCTGCTATGCAATCCCCAGAAGGTTCGAAGCCTTAACAACTCCTGTGTTAATGATGGAATAATACACACGAAGACGCCCAAACACCAATGAGACTCAAGACATCTTATCAGTCACAGTGACCCCAGCAGCCCCAAACTGTCATCACCAAAATCTAATAATACAAGACAGATGTGTATGCTGATGCACACACCCCGCAACTTCAACATCTTCCAAGGAACATGTCAACTTCTCTTTTTCTACCTTCCATCTGAAATCTTCCTCATTAGCAACTCAAACTAACAGAAAAACTATAGGTAATCCACAAAGGGATCTCCGGAATTTTAACAACAGTTAACCTATGGGTCTGATTCTCGCCCTCCCTCAAGACCCCAGAGAATCCACTGTGTGGAGGGGATGCTGTGAGACACCTCCTGGATCCCGCCCCCCTTCTCTGCGACCATTGTGCCCATCCTCCTGCACCCAGACCTCCCCGTGGGCTCAGCTCAGGCCTTGCTTCTAACATACTGCAGGGTAATTGTCCTCTTCCCAATTCCACTTCCTTCCTTCCTTCAGAGGTGTGAACACGTGTTTCCCAACAAAACCCAGTCATGCAAACCTCAGTCACAGTATCTGTGTCCCAGGGAAACTGAGCTAAGACACTATGGCATGCCCACCATTCCATGCAGCCCACAATTGGCCATGAGCCCACATCCAGGTCCTCCAGGTAGAATTGAGACCATCTTTGTCAACAGTTCCACACACCCTGTGATCCCACAAGTATGAACATCTCTCTCTCTCACACACACACATATACACACACAGCCCCATTCATTGGGTTCATCCAGAGGCCTATTCTTGCTCCCACAATCCTCCTGGAGACACAGACAAGCTCCCCCTCACTTTCCCCCATTTTTCTACCTCTTCATGCATAGTTGAACAAGAGGACTAAACAGCAGAGACCAAGAGCATGAGCATCACAACATAGTTGCACACAAGCTGAAAATCCAAGGACACTCGGCACTCAGTACAGAGACCAAGGAGCTGGCCCTCCTGGGAAAACCTGCCAGCAAATTGGGACATCAGAATGTTTTATAGGCCCTTGAGATTTAGTTGGATTGAGCTCAGTGAAGAATTAACAAATATAGAGAGACCCCAGTCTCACTGACCCCTGTTCTCCCCAATGAGAGCTAACTGGAAGATATCCTAGATCTTTAAGGAGCGGGGGGACTCCTTCATATCCCCTTGGATTCCAAACCTACTGGCCACTCTAACCACAGTAAACTCAGCATCCCCTGCTCTGAGCAGATAAACTGCTGGAAGGCAAAGCTGCTGTCCAAGATGGCAACTGGTCCCTGGGTGGACAGAGATTAGAAGACCTGGGGGCTGCAGCTGAGCAGTGGTACTACAGACTAAAACATGGGGACACCTCAAGACACTAGTTCTATCGGGCGCACTAGGACTCCCCACATCTTTTTGCTTTTCAGTAATTAAGTGTCCACATGGGGTAAGGATCAATTAAGAGTTGAAATGTCCAGAACAGATATGGGAACCATCATCACCTACCCTGTCCCCTCTGTCTCCCCTGAGAATTCTTCAGCACATTCCCAGTCCTCACCCCCAGAGTAAGATGCTGCGAGCATCCAGGGAGGAAGAGGAACACGGTGCATCCTTCAATGAAGGGAAAAGAGGAAAGACTCCAAACAGTCAAAGGACAAGGGCATCTCTGATGAAGGTGATTAATACAGAGGCAGTAAACCTGGTTAATGTGACAGAGAATATCAGAAGGAGGTGGGCAGACCTCGCTGGCCTAGACCTGAAAGAACAGAAAGAGCAAGGGCCACGGTGATTAGTGACCACAGACTAAGACCAAAGACTTAGAAACTAAGATCTGAGACAGAGAAGGTTTTGGTGTCTATGAACAAGGACTAAGTGAATGTGAGCAGGATAGACTGACCATGAGAACGGGGTCTGCTCCCAGGATGAGGCTGCAGACACTGGCAGTGACCTGAGGAGGAAGGATGCTGCCCTGAGGACACAGGGAAGCCAGCGGAGGTGGTAGGCCTCCCTGCAGATTGACCCTTGTTCATAGAAGCCATCTGCTGATAATCTATCTCACTCTAAGCGTATGTTCCTGCCTTCATCCTACTGTTGTCCTTTTTCATTTTGCAAAACTGGGACTCATTTCAAATTCTAATAACAACTGCACTCTCCCTCCAAGAAGAACTGCTGCACACAGGCACACACCCAATTTGGCCAATCATTTCAGAGGTCACTGTTGCTCAGATCCTGGACCTGAGGAAACATCATCAGATCACCTCATTGCTCACTACTTACCAGCTCACATAAAAGAGAGGAAAATAGAATATCAGACTAACTGCTTAAATTAGGTTGAGACTCTTAAAATAAAAGATCCCTGACATTCTTACTAAGTACTCATCAAAACAGTCTGTATCTATTTACTAGTTACCAAAAAAAAATGCTTCAAAAATATATCAAGAAGAAACAGCAAACGGACCTCAAATAAACATGAAACAAACCTAAAGTGAATCAGCTTGTTAAAAATTTTTCCCTGAAAAATTCTGGTGTCAAGTGAAAAAAAAAAAACATTTGAAAATATAGCATACTTTGAAAACAATGACATGAATTAATTACAGGAAGGCAACAAATCTTATTTCAGAAGGGAATAATTCTTTGCAAGAAAACAGGTATTGAATGATCTAATCTTTATCCCAAGCTACAAAAAGAATTAAATGTAAAGAAAGGAGAAAGTAAAAAGGAAAACGATCACAAAGAACATATTTACTGAATTCCTGGAAAAGGCACCACGTAGTAAGAGAGTCAGTCAGTTCTGCACATGGATGTTATCTTTTAATACATGTAATTACAAAATGCACAAGCCTTACAGACAAAAGTTTTGCAATTCTCATCTGTATAATTTAAAGAAACAAGTTTTACATTTGTTAGATCCTAAAGCCAAAAATCAATGTGATGGTTTTGTCACTAAGTCATGTCAGACTCTTGAGATCCCATGGACTGTAGCCCGCCAGGCTCTTCTGTCCATGGGATTCTCCAGGCAAGAATACTGGAGTGGGTTGCCATTTCTTTTCCAGAAGATCTTCCCCACCCGGAAATTGAACTCGGGTCTCCTGCATTGCAGGCAGATTCTTTACCGGCTGAGCTATGACGGAAGTCAAAAATCGATGTATCACGACTTCATAATCCTTATCCAACCAATTCAGCACGCTCCTGGATCTAGTCCCCTGCCCCAACTGCACACTAGTTGCTTCTACTTCATTTAGTTTATCTGTTTCCCTACTTCTTTCTCCGTCTCCCTTCCTCTTCCCCTCTGCTCTCCGGCTGTGCCTGTCCTCCTCTCTACTTCTTCCCTGACTCCCATCCGGCCTCTCTCTGCCATCTGTTCCCAGTAAAATGCTTCTAATCCAACCTCCTTGATGATCCTAAATCTCCATGAATTTCTGCCTTTCTTCCTCCATCTCTGCTCTCCCTTCCTCCCAACTTTCTGGCACCCCCAAGTGGCTATGCTTCCTTTCACCTTGCTTGCTCTCTCAGCTCCTCCAATTACTGCATGTGAGTGAAAGTCGCTCAGTCCTGTCTGACTCTTTGCGACCCCATGGCTGTAGTCCATGGAATTCTCCAGGTCAGAATACTGCAGTGGGTAGCTGTTGCCTTCTCCAGGGGATCTTCCCAACCCAGGGATCGAACCCAAGGCTCCCGCATTGCGAGCGGATTCTTCACTAGCCGAGCTCCGAGGGAAGCCCAATCTCTAGGAGTCCCCTTTCTCTCCCAGCAGGCTATTTCTCTGTAAGCCAAGGTCCCAACTCTTGCATCTCCTTTGCGGGCTCTCTGTGTGAACCGCCTCTCCATTGTCGCCCTCTTTGGGACCCCTGATTTACAGCCCCTCTACTTGAAGGTATAGAGGGGTCGGCAGAGGATCAGATGGTTGGTTAGATAGCATCTCTGGACTCAATGAACATGAATTTGAGCAAACTGTGAGAGTCGCAAAGATTCGGACTGAACACCACTTTCCTATTATGCTCACCTTTAACTCTCCGGAGATCCTGCTTTCCCCTAAACTTCTGTCCCTGCCTACCGGAAACCTTCAAGACCTACTCTCTTTCATGTTGCCGTCTCTTCGCAAGTTCCTCAGCAATTCTCTAACTTGTCAACGGTTCTACCTCAAGCTTTTTTCAGTTTTCTATTTCTCTCGAAGTCGATGTCTTTGCTTCTCGTGACACCACCCCCACCCCACCCACTATTTACGGGAATGGCGGCTGAATAAGCCGCCCTCCTCCTGCAAAAGCCAAATTCCAGCTGGTGGAATTTGGGATGGAAGAACCAGGGGGGTCAAGAGGCAGGCCCAGGTCACCCACCCTGATACAGGGTCAGGGGAAAGGTCACTATGAAGGCAACGCCCTAGGAGATATGGGGGCTGGGAGGGAGTGGGTCTCAGGAGCGGGGCGCGCTCCCCAGAATCCCAGGACCTGGAAGAGGACGTGGCCTCCAGGGGCCGAGAAGGCGAGGCTGAGGACCGCGGAGCGTAAATACCCACCTCGCGGAAGAGAATTTTATGCGGTGCAGGAAGTGCAGAGTGAACAGTAAATGGTTTTAAGATGGAAGGAGGTGCGAAACGCAGCGTTTCAGAGTTCCAAAAGCAGGAACCGGCTTCAGTGCGGACTTTAAACCAAAAGGGAGGCGCTCCTTCGCCGCTCCCGGACACCTCTGAATTTGCTGGGGTTGGTGGGGCGGGCGCGGGGATTTAGAGTCAGTAGAGACCCTCAAACCAGGGGTACCGAGGGAAGCAGAGTGAGAGCGGCACGCGTGACTAAGAGAAACTTACGCCGCGCTGAGACAGCTGCACCGCCGGCTCTCCGCTTCCGGATGTGGGAAGCTGCGCGGGTCGGCAGTGAAACGGCGGGGGCGGCCTGGGGAAGCGGCCTAAGCGGAGACCGCTTTTTCTCTTCGATTCTACTGAAAATAATCTCCTAAAATGAAAAGTTCTTGTAGTCAATTTACTACCATGGTCATATAAAACAGAAAAGGACAGTAATACGCCTCCCTAACACTCGATAAAGAACTTCAGCTGCAGCACCAGTCCCAAAGCTGAAATTCTAAACTAGTTCCTGAACACGTCATTTGATACTTATAAAATTATCAAGTGCCATGTCATAATTAAAATGACTTTTTCCTTATAAATTACTACGTATTTCGTGCACTTATCTGTTACCTCAGGATTTTACATCGAAGGGAAATCAGACCCTGGGCCTCTCACAGCAACGACTGAATTTGTTTGGGCTGGAGGAAGGAGTCGGGGAATAGGGAGGTGCGAAGTGACTGAAGACCACGCATAGGGAGGAGAGGGGACCCCACACGCGCAGCTTAACAAAAACAAAAAAAAACTACCTCACGTTTCCAATGGTCGGCCGCACCTACCAAGTCTCAGCTTCGGGAATTGGCTGTAGAATCGCTCGCGTCGAAGCGGAGACGCTAAACTCCTCAGCCTTCGGTATTAGAACAGGGAGGGGCGGGGGGCGTAGGGCGCACGCCTGCGCCTGGGCATGTGAGGGGCGTGGCGTAGGCCACACGCCTGCTCCTGGGCGTGTGAGGGGCGGGGCCGAGCGGGGTCGAGCGGGAACCGGCGGAGCCGAGCCGAGCCGGGCCGAGCGGGGCCGAGCGGACACCTGCTGTGTTCTTCATTTTGGTTCCCAGGTATCTTGTCACGGTTTAGAAGTACTTGAGGGTCTTTCCCTTCTTGTGTTGCATCATTGATTCCTCATAACTGTAACAGTTTTAAAGTAAAAACTTAATATTCTGTGGGATAATTGCGTTGGAAAGTAAGGTTTCCTATTAGCAGGATTCCTGCTGATAAGGCTGAAGCATTTCAGCCTGGGAACTGAAACCGGGTGTGGTGACTGGGCTAGCGGTGGGTAGGGGTGGGTGGGGGTTGATGTGCGGTGGTGGCTGGACCCAGAAATATTCCTGCAATTAGAATTAATTTAAGCAGTTTAAGTAAACAATCATGCAGGCTAGTCTTGCCTATAGGAAATGGGTCGCAACATCAATGCTAAGAAAATATTTTCCATTTTGCCATTTCTCTGGTGATCATGAAAAAAAATTTTTGCACAGCATCGTGGATTTTATGTTCATGATTATAGACAGCAGTGAAGTCTCATACTGATGTCACTAAATTATGCACTTATCTCCTCTTTGACCAGCTGAGCCCTGCTGAAGAAATGATCTGGTGAGAATATGGTGTCCTTTTTTTTTTTTTTAATGTATTTATTTCACCGTCTCAGGTCTTGGTTGTGGCACATGGGCTGTTTCGTTGTGGCGCACAGGCCCTCCAGTTGTGCCTGTAGTTTAGTTGCCCCATGGCCTGTGGGATGTTAGTTCCCTGCCCAGGGATAGATCCCACAATGCCAGCATTGGAAAGTGGATTCTTAACCACTGGACCACCAGGAAGTCCCGAATATTGTTTTCTTGATTAATAAAGTGAAAAAAGAGTCAATTACTTTCCCTGACCTGAGAAAGCAAGCTGTGTGTGAATTGTCCTTCATGTTGGGCATGCAGACAGTGTACACAGATATGGATAAACTAGGTATTACCTTAATATTGTTTGGCCCAGACACCTGGGGGAAAGTCTTAAGGAAATTCCAAGAGTAGATATACAGAGGATTTAGCATATCTGAACTAGTAAACACAAACTGAAGTGATTTATCCAAGAGATACTGAACACTGTTGGGAAAATAAAATTAAAGATAAAAATGAATGAGCCTGGAGATTATCATACTAGGTGAGTAAGTCAGATAAAGACAGATTAAATGTCACTTACACGTGGAATCTGAAACAAATGATACCAACAGAAACATTCTACTGTATAACGCAGGGAACTCTGCTCAATATCATGTGACAGCCTGGATGGGACAGAAGTTTGAGGGGATATAGACATATAATTGGCTGAGTCCCTCAACAATGTCACTTATCCTGACCCCTTAAAAGACCTGAATCCAAAAAAAAAAAAAAAAAACCACTTNACACAAGAGAAAGGCTCAAGCATCCAAAGGTTAGGACACAAGAACCAGACTCACTGTCTGATGCACATTTCTAAGTTCTTTTTAAAATATTTATATTTATTCGACTACATTGGTTGTTACTATTGGCACGTGGGGGCTTTCACACCAGCTTAATTGTTCTGTGCTATGTGGAATCTCACTTTCCCAACCAGTGACAGAACCCATGTCCTCTGCATTGGAAGGCAAATTCCTAACCACTGGATCACAACAGAAGTTCCACATGTTTGAGTTTTGCAGATACGGCAACTGCTACCAGAGGGAAAAATGCTGACTGCACCCATGCCATACACTGCTTCATCTTGATTCAGTGCCAAGTCTATGCCTAGGGCAGTTTCAAGAACTGGCCTTAGGAGAACTGGATTAACAGTATTTATTGCTCATAGTAATCTATATCTCTGTGGGCATCAAAATAACTGTAGCTTGTTCTGCCTGTGTATGTAAATAGGCACGTACAACTGGCTATATAGAGATGCTACACAATGGTCAGGATGTGGAAGCAAACAAGACATCCATCAACAAATGAATAGATAAGGAAAACGTGTAAATACAATGGACTATCAGTCATAAAAAGGAACGCGTTTGCATCAGCTGTAGTGAGGTGATGAATCTAGAGGCTGTTACAGAATGAAGTCAGAGAAACAAATATTGTACATTAACACATATATATGGAATCTAGAAAAGTAGTACTGAGGAATCTATTAGTAAGGAGGAAATGGAGAGGTAGACAGAGAGAATGATCTTGTGGACAGAGTGATGGAAGGAGAGGCTAGGACAATTGAGAAAGTAGCAGTGAGATATACACACCATCATGTGTAAAATAGCTAGTTAATGGGAAGCTGCTATATAATACATGGAGCCCAATCAGTCACTCTGTGATGACCTAAAAGGATAGAATGGGGGTGGGGGAGGGATGTCACAGAGGGAGGGGATACATATATATTTGACTGACTCAAGATGATGTAAGGCAGAGACCACAAGATTGTAAAGCAATTATCCTCCAATAAAGACAAAAAAAAAAGAGATGCTACAGACCCACATGAATATGTTCCACTGTTAAGAATATGACCCTCTATGTCAGGAAGAAAAAGTTACAGAAGATGGTCCTTCACGTATGAGCCCATAAAAATGGAATGATGAAAAATAAATTTAAGTAAATGGAATGATGTTCTGACAAATGGGGATTTGTAGGCAGCTTTTGGCCAGAAATAATTCTGTGCAGGAGGCACTCTGTTGTCTTCTAACTAATGTTAAACCAGGCAGCCCTATGATCTACTCATCCCAAGTCCTAGCACATCTTTTAAACACTTTAATCACAAAATATCTTGCCTAACTTGTCGGTTCTATCCATAGATCAAAGCAGTAGACATGAAGTTATTAACAGGTGATGATCATTTCCCTACTCCCCTAAGAAATCTTGTGAACAAACTGTGTGACTAAGATATCCTCTAGAGCCTAGAATTCTCTGGAGGTCCCGTGGTTAGGACTCTGTACTTTCAAAAGGGTGGCCAGCATTCAATACAAGGTCAAGGAGTTAAGATACTAGTTATGTGGCATAGAGAAAAAAAAAATTATAGATATATATAAAAATTATGGTGGATATTTAACACAAATGGTTAACATATTTATAGAAAGTCTCAAATTAATGTTTTAATGAAAAGAAGACAAAATCTAAAATTGAAAAGGGTTCACTCTTCTTAGTCATCCAAGATCCATGTTGGTATAACGACACTGAAGACTAAGTATTCATGGAGATATAAGGGAGACAAGACGTACCACATCCCCCCATGTGGTACCTCTGGAAGACCTATTATGTGAAAATGGGAATCTTCTCATTTTGTTCAATCACTGTTCTCCACATGCTGTGTCACTCACAAATAAGAACTATCCCACCTGAAAAACAGGATCATTATTTTGTGATGGGTATAGAACAGAACATTTCAGAACCTTGAATTTAAAATGTTGTGGCTTGAAAAAACTTAAGCTAACCCTTTGGGAATGAGTTGGATCTGTTTAGCCCAGTGAATCCAGCAAAGTCGCGGGATATAAGGTTAATACACAGAAATAACTTGCATTCATATATACTAACAATGAAAAAGCAGAAAGAGAAATTAAGGAATGAATCCCATTCACCACTGCAACAAAAAGAATGAAATAGCTAAGAATAAACCTACCCAAGGAGACAAAAGGCCTGTATATGGAAAATTATAAGACACTAATGAGAGAAATCAGAAGACATAAAGAGATGGAGAGATATTTCATGACCCTGGGCGGGAAGAATCAATATTATGAATATGACTCTACTACCAAATGCAATCTATAGATTCACTGTGATCCCTATCAAATTACCAATGGCATTTCTACAGAACTAGAATAAAAATTTTCACAATTCATATGGAAACACAAAGGATTCTGAATAGCCAAAGCAGTCTTGACAAAGAAGAATGGAGCTGGAGGAATCAACCTTCCTGACTTCAGACTATACTACAAAGCTACAGTCATCAAGACAGTATGGTACTGGCACAAAAACAGAAACATAGACAAAGGAACAAGATAGAGAACTGAGATAAACCCACACACCTATGGGTACCTTATTTTTGACAAAGGAGGCAAGAGTATACAATGGGACAAAGATAGCCTCTTCAATAAGTGGTGCTGGGAAAACTGGACAGCTATGTGCAAAAGAATGAAATTAGAACACTTCCTAACACCATACAGAAAGGCAAACTCAAAACTAAAGACGTAAATGTAAGAACAGGCAAGGTGAAAAGAGAACCATCAGAATGGGAGAAAATAATAGCAAAGGAAATAACTGACAAAGAATTAATTTACAAAATATACAAGTAGCTCATACAACTCAACAAGTGCTTCACTTGTGGCTCAGCTGGTAAAGAATCCACCTGCAATGCTATAAGACCTAGGTTCAATCTCTGACTTGGGAAGATCCCCTGGAGAAGGGAAAGGCTACCCACTCCAGTATTCTGGCCTGGAGTATTCCATAGACTGTATAGTCCATGGGGTCACAAAGAGTCAGATGCAAATAAGCAACTTTCACTTTCTTTCACAACTCAATACCACAAAAACAAACAAGTCAATCAAAAAGTGGGAAAAAGACCTAAAAAGACACTTCACCAAAGACACAGAGGTGGCCAACAAGACCATGAAAAGATGCTCAACATCACTATTAGTTCAGTTCAGTCGCTCAGTCGTGTCCGACTCTTTGCGACCCCATGAATCGCAGCACACCAGGCCTCCCTGTCCATCACCAACTCTCGGAGTTTACTCAAACCCATGTCCATCGAGTCGGTGATGCCATCCAACCATATCATCCTCTGTCGTCCCCTTCTCCTCCTGCCCCCAACCCCTCCCAGCATCANTTTCTACCTGACCCTAATTCACACACTATTCAATTTCACAATTTCGGCTGGATGTGAAGAAAGGGTACCTAATGAAGTTGGTCCTTCAGCTTCCTCTTTTCCAGGGAATATTGTGAAAGGCCTATAAAAGTGTAAGATCAACAGACTTCATGTTGAAAGACATGAAAGGTAACGTACTCAAAAATCACTGACTATTCATACAATGAAGATAACCGGCCATTTCAACATACCTCCTTCAACCTCTCATATAAACACAATGCCGTAAGTTTTGGGGCTTCTCACGTGGCTCAGTGGTTAGAACCAGCCTGCCAAACAGGACGTGTGGGAGACACAGGTTCCATCCCTGGGCTGGGAAGATGCCCTGGAGCAGGAAATGCTACCCTCTCCAGTATTCTCGCCTGGAAACTCCCATGGACAGAGGGGCTGGTGGGGTACAGTCCATGTGACCACAGAGTCTGAGACGACTGGGAGAGTAACCCACCGCAAGTTTTATTTTTTATTTTGTCATGCTGGGTCTTCGTTGTGGCGCAGGCTTTTTCTCTAGTTACAGTAAGCAAGGGCTACTCTCAATTTGCAGTGTATGGGCTTTTCATTGCTGTGGGTTCTCCTGTTGGATAGCACTGGCTCTAGGCTTCAGTAGTTGCAGGTCCCAGGCTCTAGAACATAGGACAACAGTTATGAACCATGGGTTTCATTGCTCCATGGCATGTAGGATCTTCCTGGACCAGTGATGGAGCCCGTGACTCCCGCATTTAATAAGAGGATTCTATACCTGAAGCCACCATTGAAGCCCCCATATTATAAGTTTTAACGTAACATGGTGTGACCTGTAATGACTCTACAGCTTTTACTATCTTAGAGAACTAAAGACTCATTCATTTACAGTTATCTGTTCCCTGCTGTGGGCTCTCTTTTAAGTAATGCTCACAAAATTCACCAAATCCATAACATTTGAAGAGTTCTTTGGTGACATCTGAGGACACAATGTTTCTCAACAATGTTTTTACATGGACAGGATACATGTATGGGAATCTAGACAGCCGGGAGAAATATCAACAACCTCAGATATGCAGGTGATACCACTCCAATGGCAGACAGTGAAGAGGCACTAAAAGGCCTCTTGATGAAAGTTCAAGAGGAGAGTGAAAAAGCTGGCTTAAAACTCAACAATTAAAAAAAAAAAGATTATGGCATCCGGTCCCATCACTTCATGGGAAACAGATGGGGAAAAAGCAGAAAAAGTGTCAAATTTCATTTTCTTGGGCTCCGAAATCACTGTGGACTGTGACTGCACTCATAAAATTAAAACACACTTGCTCCTTAGAAGAACATTTCTCTCTGCGATGAATACGCTTATGAACTGAAAGGGCGGATGTTCACTGAAACATCTTGCCACACTCTTTACATTTGTAAGGTTTCTCTCCAGTATGAACTGTATTATGACGTGTAAGGTAGCTCTTGTTGCTGAAGACCTTCCCACACTCATTACATTTGTAAGGTTTCTTTCCAGTATGAGTCCTCAGATAGCTTGTAAGGCTGTTCTTATGCTGAAAAAGCTTGCCACACTCGTTACATTTGTAAGGTTTCTCTCCAGTATGAATAATCAGATGGCTTGCAAGGCTGTACTTATACTGAAAAAGCTTGCCACAATCATTACATTGGTAATGTTTCTCTTCAGTATGAATTCTATTATGAATTGGAAGGTAATTCTTTCTACTGAAAACCTTGCCACACTCATCACATTTGTAAGGTTTCTCCCCAGAATAACTTCTTTGATGATCAACTGCAAGACTTTCTTTTTGACTAAAATCCTTGCCACACTCATTATATTTGTAAGGTCTCTCTCTAGCATGAATATGCTGATGAAATGAAAAGGTGGCCCTGTGCCAAAAGACCTTGCCACATTCATTACATTTATAAAGTTTCCTTCCAGTATGAATTCTATTATGAATTTTAAGGTTTATCTTTCTACTGAGGAGCTTCCCATATTCATTACATTTATAAAGTTTCTCTCCTACATGAATTATTTGACGATGACATGTAAGGTTTCCTTTTTGAGTAAAGACCTTGCCCATCTCATTACATTTGCAAGGTTTCTCTCCAGTGTGAATTCTCTGTGAACATTCATGGGTTCTTTGACTAAAGTCCTTGCCACATCTTTAAATTTGTCAGGTTTTTGTTCATTGTGGATTCTGTTATGAATTATCAGTAGTGAACTCTTACTGAAGACCACTTGTCTTTTATCAGCTTCTGCTTTTAGTTGTAATTTCTTGATCACATGTTCACAAGACATAGCTAAAACATAGAAAACCACAATTATCCTGTATATTAAAATTCATAAATAAATGTCTCACATTAAATATATGCTACTACACTAAAAAACCACTTATACCAAACAAAGCAAAGCAAACACCTAGAATCACCTATGATGAGCTTATAAAACACAAAGGAATAGGATTAGTTTCGAAGAAAAAAACTGATCAGAGATAATTCTAATATTTCTAAGAGGACTGCCGTTTTAAATAAGTGGTAACAAAAAGACTCAACCTAAACAAACTCCTTTTGGGAATTAAAGAAATTGTATATTTCCCCTATGCCCACAATCTATGAATCAAGTAATGAAACACTGCTGCTTCAATACCAAGGAGAAAAAAATCATAATTTACATATATTCTGCATGTGCCTGTGTGCTGTTATATCCAACTCTTTGTGATCCCATGGACTGCGGCCCGCCATCCTCCCCAGGGAATCTTCCAGAAAAGAACACTGGAGTGGGTTGCCAATTCCCACTCCAGGAGGTCTTTCTGATCCAGGTCTTGAACTTGCATCTCCTGAATCTTCTACACTGGCAGGCAGGGTCTTTACGCCTGGTGCAACTATTAGAGGTCCCATATTCTGCATTCACACCATAAATAAGCAATGATAAAGAATGATAAAAATGATAAAGAATACACAATATATTGTAAAACTAACCAAGTCAAAATTAGCTTATCTAATTAATAACCTATATAAGTGGAAGTTACCAATTAGACAAAAACAGTATAAAGAAAGTGAAGAATTTCCTTCTGGTTTAAGATGGCAGAGTAGAAGGATGTATGATCCTCTCCTCCTCTGAGTGCACCAAAATCACAACTAGCTGTTGAACAACAGGAGGACAATGGAACCCGTGGAAAAAAGATGCCCCGTGTCCAAAGACAAAGAAGAGGCAAGACAGTAGGAGGCATGTAATCACAATAAAATCAAATCCCCTACCCACTGGTGAGTGACCCACAAATTGGAGGACAATAAACAATACCAAAGAAGCTATACCACTGTTGTCAAGGTTCTGAACCCCACATTAGGCTTCACAACCTGGGAATCTGATAAAGGCACTGAGAATCCCCAGTGACTCTGACCTTGAAGTCCAATGGTATCTGATTACAGGAATTCCACAGGACTTGGGCAGACTCCATTCTTGGAGGGCACAAACAAAATCTTGCACACACCAAGACCCAGAGGAAAGGAGAAGAAAGAAAGAACCTGAGAAAATATTTGAAGAGGTAACAGTCAAACACTTCCCTAAAATGGGAAAGGAAATACTCAGCCAAGTCCAGGAAGTGCAGGGAGTCCCTGGCAGGATGAACCCAAGGAAAAACACACCCAGCCACACGGCAATCAAACTGACAAAAACTAAAGACAAGATGAAATATTAAAAGCAACAAGGGAAAAAAAATCACACAACATATAAATGAACTCCCATTAGGTTATCAGCTGATTTCTCAACAGAAACTCAACAAGCCAGAAGGGAATGACACTGTATATTTAAAGTGAGGAAAGGGAAGAACCTACAACCAAGAATACTCTACCCAGCAAGACTCTCACTCACATTTCACAAATAATTCAAAAGCTGTCCAGACAAGCAAAACTTAAAGAGAATTCAGCACCACCAAGCCAGTTTTAGAACTAATGCTCAAGGAAGTTCTCTAGGCAGGAAAACACAAGAGAAAGAAAAGAGGTACAGAAAATAAATCCACAAAAATTAAGAAAATGGTAATTGGAGCACACATATGGATGATTACCTTAAATATAAATGGATTAAATGCACCAACCAAAAGGCATAGATTAACAGGGCAACTGAACACATGTGAATGTATGCAATTCCAATTACCACAATAACCTGCTTGACCCCACAAATTGAATGCCATTATTTTATATTGTTAGCTTAATCTCGTTCCCATTATGGCTTTCAATTGTAATGATCTCTAAGTTTTTGTCTGGATATTAATCATGAAAACTGACAAGCATCTTTACTATTGTGACTATGTAACTATTGTGACTATGTAATATCACATATTACACATATGTAACTATTGTGACTATACCATGATTGGTCAACAGAGAAACAGTAGAATTCTATATCAAAAAAACTACCATTTAATAGAAAAAGCTTTAATCACGCTTTAAAATCCAGATGCATATCAGAATTATCTTAGAATTTTCTGAAAAATACAAATGCACAGGTATTGCTTTTATCCTACAAAGCTCCAGGTATGTTTCCAATGAGCAGCCATAAACAACTGGAGTACATGATGATCTTTTACTTTTATCTAGTTTGTTACACTTTTTCTATTTCATATTCAGTGCTCCCATTTCATTTACCTTGTGTTTTCCAATTTCCCCATCCTTTTTTTAATGTTCTTTCTCAAGCCTTTATCAAGTGTATATACAGAAGCTTTTGTATATGTATATACAAATAGTATGTATAATATATATATTTTAGAAAACTTATGAAGTTTTGGTTAACTAAAAAATTTATGACATTTCACTTGTTTGATTCAGTATGAATAGAATGACAGATTCCTAATTAAAAAGTAGATATACAACAAGCAACAAAGATTTTCTGTATAGCACGGGACCTACAGTCAATATAATGGAAAATAATCTATTTGAAAAATAATATATATGTATAACTGACTCACCTTGTTGTGTACCTGAAACACTATATGTCAATTATACTTCAATAAAATATATATATTAAGAAAAAATAGAAAGTGAATTCAATAATAAAAAATCAAACTTAAATGTATGTAAATGAAACATTCTGTAGTTATAGTAAAAATGAAAAAATAGTACAATTTACTACCTATGCAGTGCCATTAAATATCCAGTTCACTGGCTCCAAATCACATGAAAGAGAGAGCGGTATGTAACTTTATTAAAAGGGTCAGAAAGCACATTGTTGAGAATAAGTGTGATAGGAGAGCACTCAAAATATAATGCAAAGGATGTCATAATATAAGTATTATAGGATATTAATGAGTCTAGGAACAAAGCTAGTGGAGGTGATGGAATTCCAGTTGAGCTATTTTAAATCCTGATAGATGACGCTGTGAAAGTGCTGCACTCAATATGCCAGCAAATTTGGAAAACTCAGCAGTAGCCACAGGACTGGAAAAGGTCAGTTTTCATTCCAATCCCAAAGAATGCTCAAACTACCGCACAACTGCACTCGTCTCACACATGGACTGTCAAGAAAGCTGAGCACCGAAGAATTGATGCTTTTGAACTGTGTTGTTGGAGAAGACTCTTGAGAGTCCATTGGACTGCAAGAATATCCAACCAGTCCATCCTAATGGAGATCAGTCCTGGGTGTTCATTGGAAGGACTGATCCTGAAGCTGAAACTACAGTAGTTTGGCCACCTCATGGGAAGAGTTGACTCGTTGCGAAAGACCCTGATGCTGGGAGGGATTGGTGGCAGAAGGAGAAGGAGACGACAGAGGATGAAATGACTGGATGTCATCACCGACTCGATCGGCATGAGTTTGAGTAAGCTCTGGGAGTTGGTGATGGACAGGGATGCCTGGAGTTCATGCGGTCGCAAAGAGTCAGACAAGACTGAGCAACTGAACTGATTGACTGAGGGAGAAAGAAAGTAGGTCTGATTTCCAGGTGGCTGTTTCTCAATGAAGAAAATTATTTAATTAGGAAAAAAGAAGCTCCGTCCGACGCCTTGGATCCGTTTCCATCGCTTGCGCCGTCAGGTCGTTTGTCAGACCCCCAGCTGCCAAGATGGTGAAGCAGATTGAGAGCAAGTACGCTTTTCAGGAAGCCTTGAACAGTGCAGGAGAGAAACTTGTAGTAGTCGACTTCTCAGCCACGTGGTGTGGGCCTTGCAAAATGATCAAGCCTTTCTTTCATTCTCTCTCTGAAAAGTATTCCAACGTGGTGTTCCTTGAAGTAGATGTGGATGACTGTCAGGATGTTGCTGCAGAGTGTGAAGTCAAATGCATGCCAACCTTCCAGTTTTTTAAAAAGGGACAGAGGTGGGTGAATTTTCTGGAGCTAATAAGGAAAAACTTGAAGCCACCATTAATGAATTAATCTAATCATGTTTTATGAAGACATGGCCAGCCATTGGCTGTTTAAACTTGTAATTTGTTTTTATTTACACAAAGGAAAGATCAAGTATGAAGATTATATACCTTACTGCCATCTGATAAGTGACAATGAAATATTAACTCTACACTTAAAAAAAAAATAATTAGGAAAAAAAAAGAAAGAGTTTTTATTCAAAGTGGACTCCCAAGAAAAGAGGTCCCAAAAGGCAAAGTCTTTATATGATCTGTAACAATCTGTCATTTCACTCCTGTCCGTGTGGTTTCTTGACTATGGGAAGCATGTGATGAGTTGTTTCAAAGGGATTTATTTCCTCTTTGTCCCCCTTCTGTGCTGGATTCCATCGGATGCCTGCTTTTTGGTCCACGTGGAAGAGTGCTGACACCTCCAGAGATTATTTCGGACCCAGCCTGGTTCTCTTCCTATTTGATGCACTTGGGAGACCTCATTGGAAGAAGGGAAAAGACTGGCAGCTCTTCGATTGCATTTGGTGTCTCAGACCCTACACAGAGCTGCCTTCAACCTGTCTTCCTGTTCAGAGCCCTCAGCTGTTCCTGTTGTGACTTCTTTTGCCACATCCTTCAGGGGTGTGTGTAACAGGAATGTGGTTTGGATCTTCTGTGATTGTAACTCAGGAAACCTGGAAGGACAGTGGACATTGAGGTCCTCTCTCTTGGACAGGACCTGGATTGATGTGTTGTTGGTGCCTTGGAAACCATTTCCAGGAGTAAGACAGTTACACAGGTCAGTTCTTGCGTCTGATCTGAAGTTTCCTTTTTATACTCCTGGAGTTCACTGTAACTTTTTGTCCTCTGTTCTGCCCAAGTGGGCCCTGGTGGTTCAGAGCATGTATGAATCTGTAAGTCTCGGTTTCAGTCCTGCTTTTGCTCATTTACTTTCATGTTCCATGGAGCTGTGTTCAGGAACCCAGTGAATCCACTACCTTTATTTATAAAATTGAGGTAATTACTGCTGTTAGGTGGCATAGAATGTTGCCTGTTTTACAGAAAAAGTCTGAAGTTACTGTTTTTTGGGTTTTTTTTGTTTTTTTTTTTGCTGTGCCATGTGGCAGGTGGTATCTTAGTTCCCCATTCCTGGATGGAATCTGTGCCCCCTCCAGTGTATGTGCATAATCCTAAAGACTAGACCACCAGGGAATTTGCCTCAAAAATTACTTTTGCTTAAAGAATGTATTTACTTCCTGTCTTGCTTATTGTGACATCTCTTTGTCTACTTTACATCTTGTATGTTTTTATTTTACTTTTCATTTTTTTGAGGGTTGTCTCTGACTCTGGTTAATAAGTTTTCAAATAATATTGGTTTTCTTCATACAAATACATTACATTTTTAAAGTGTTTTTTTGTTGTTGTTTGTTTGTGCTGAGTCTTTGTTGCTTCAGGGGCTTTTCACTACTTGTGGCAAGCAAAGGTGCCTCTCTACTTGCAGTGCACGGGCTTCTCATTCTGATGCCTTCTCTTGTTACATTGTATGGGCTCTGTGCCTGTGCTCAGTAGTTGTGACTCCCGAACTCTGGAACACGGAGTTGTGGCCTAGAGGTTTAGTTGCTCCAAGGTATTTGGGAACTTCCCGGATGAGGGATGGAACCCTTGTGCCCTGCGTTAATTACCAGGTGGATTCTTTACCTCTGATCTAGAAAGAAGGCCCCAAAGCTTGTTCCTTGACATGTATCTTAGAACCAATGAACTGAGTAAATTAAAGTTCTTGTATTGTTCGGGAATTGCTGTACTGAATGACTGTTCTTTAAGTAGAGAATGTTTCATTTATTAATATTTTGTTATTTAAAGATGATGCTCTTTGTGTATTACACAATGTAACTGACATGAACCACTTGTCAATGTCATAAAATGCCCATACGTCTACCTGCTGATAGATTTATAAGAGGTATTTAGAAAAGTTTTCTTTTTTTTTTCCATTATTGTAGGGAATTTTCTGAACAGTTGTCAACTGCTATTTATGTTTTCCATTTTTCATTAAAATGCTTCTTTTGGATTATTTACCATTGCAGTGTATTGCCTGTTAATGAATTCTTGTTCAGTCGATCGTTCTGTCTGACTCTTTGTGATCTCATGGACAGAAGCCTGCTAAGCTCCTCATCCATGGAATTTTTTCAGGCAAGAATAGTTCAGTGGGTGCCATTTCCTCCTCCAGGGGATCTTCCCCACCTAGGGTTTGAAGCTCTCTATCCTACATCTCCTGAATTGGCAGGCTAATTCTTTACTACCAAGTCACCTACGTAGCCCTGTCTGTTTTTTACCATTTCCTTATGTATAAGTATGCATAAAGTGTGTACAATATGCTATATTTGCTCCTCAATTATGAGACAGCAGTGTGTTTACTACCAAGTAGAATGAGTTTATAAGTCATGGTGCGAAAATACCCTTTTCTTTGAGAACTGACATTAGTTTCGAAAAAATGAATATGTTCTGACTGTATCTTTGAAGCTAGGCTACCCTGAAATTAATTTGGATTACATGTGATTGCTCTTTCATTTTTAAAGAGTTCTATTTGTTTAGCATTTCAAATATTTTTAAGATCATGATTGGGGAGATGCGTAATTCTGTTCAGCATGGATATGCCATTTGGTATAATACCATGTATTCAGCATGAAACAATTTATTTATGAATTTTAATTGATATACTGCATATGGTTTTTATATTTGTAGATGTGTCTCAAATATGTATGATCAAGAAATTACAGGCAAAAGGAAACATTGATCAAGAAATTACAGGCAAAAAAGAAATTTTTCAGAGTGTTGTTTGGAAGAGCCGAAAGCCATGAGATTAAAGATTTTTTCCTCAGAAAGATAGAGGAAAATATACATGATTTTGAGTGTCTGTGGACAGATGATGAAAGAAATGACAGAGGAACCTCTATATCCCATAACAAAAATCTCACCGATAGACGAGATCATGATAGTAGAAGTGATGCAGGAAATAAGGCTGTTGAAAGGCATGGATCAAGCTTTCAAGATCAGTTGCAGATACTGGAATCTGAAGGGACAGTTTCTGAATGTAGTCAGGCTGTGGTGAATATCAACAGTCGCGCCTCAGGTTTGCCACCTCAGAGAACTCGTAGTGTCCATAAAGGCAATTCTCATAAACGTGAGAGTGCTGTTGTGCATCCCTCAGAACTGGGACCAGACCAGAAGCACCCAAGAAAAAAACTTACAGTTGTAATGAGTGTAACATGACTTTTCTTCAGGACTCAGAACTCATTAGACATCATAGAATCCATACAGGAAGAAAAGCATATAAATGTAACA